AATCACAGCTCTATTTAATGTGTTTTTATTAGCCACCCCCTCCCCTCCCTCTACACTCCTATTACCTCCCCTTTTCCCTTTTCCGTGAATTAGGTCGCGTGCGGCCGGGCGACGTCTCTGGCTGATCAAAAAAAGGCCAAAATAAGCTTTCAGTTTTGGCCGCTGGTTTTGGTCGCGATTGCCTGGTATCTGCTGCTAGGTAGCAGGTCTGGGACGGAGTACGAGCGGACCCTTTCACTCACCCACAGACTCGGATGTTTGATTTCATGTTTCCATTTTTTTCAGGTAAAAAAAAAGTTTTCTTTTTAAAACCATTTGTCCAGAAATTATCACTAACGCTGATTAATTATCATTATTTTTGTGAGTGTGTAAATGTACCTAAATTTTCTCACACACAACTCGTACACGACATTTGAAATAAATACATGTGCTTTTAATTATAAGTTTTGATATTGTTTCAAATATTGTTATATGCGAAACCGATTCTACCGATTCTAGTTTTACAATTGCAATAGTCGCATTTCGGCATCATATTTAATAACATAGTCAACTTCAGTATTTTTGGCAGCTGCATAGTTTAAAATGTTCACTTTTTTGTTTACGCATAGTGTTTTTTCACACTACAGATGAAAATATATCAGTTTGCTTTACTTAGCGCTAAAGACGATAAAGTAGTGGTGAGCAAGACTTAGCCCGGGGGAAGGGGTTTTCGGTATGAAATGTGTGACACTATAAAGGTGGGGGGAGGGGTGAGACCAAATCGTAAACTTTACTGTCGAAGCAATGTTTTTCCAATTAAAATTATAAAATAGTAGGAGGAGAGGGATGATTCCATAATATATATATATATATATATATATATATATATATATATATATATATATATATATATATATATATATATATATATATATATATATATATATATATATATATATATGTATATGTATATATATATATATATATATATATATATATATATATATATATATATATATATATATATATATATATATATATATTTGAGTGTGTGCATTGTGTACTTTTAGGGGTGTTTAACTGTATAAATCTCTACACTGATGAGGTCTCGACTTTATCGTGATCGAATAAACAATGCCATCTATCATTGTCTAGACGGTCACGCTGACGTGACGACCGTAATGAGTCTAGACCAGTCTGTGTGTGTGTGTGTCTGAGTGTGTGTGTGTGTGTGCTCACTGACCACCTAGTGACCCCTAATGAGCCTGGATCACTGGCCTGCTCCTGGTGAATACACGGCGGCCCGTTGTGTTTTTTTTTGTGAGCGTCATGCAGGTCTAAATCTAAAGACGTTTTTTTTTTGTTAGCGGCATGCAAGGCTAACCGTAAAGGCTAACCGTAAAGACGATTATGGGAGCCTCATGAAGGGCTAACCCTAAAACGTTTTTTTGTGAGCGGCTCAAAGGGCTAACCATAAAAACGTTTTTTGTGAGCTTCATGAAGGGCTAACTCTAAAGACGTCTAAACACTTTCTTCCTCGCAGCGTCGGTAAAATGCGATACTGAAATTTTATTTTAGATGTACTGAAATTCAACTTATCCAATATATAACAATATATAATGTATACAAATAACAAGGTGTCGTATGTAAAAGATAATATTCATGCACATACAAACAAAATAATTGCTCTTTCATCCTCTGGTATAAAAATAAAAGAATAAAAATAAAGTAAAATTAGTATTATATTATAATAACGATATTTTAAATACACTGAATATTGAAAACAAAACATTTTTTTTACAAATAATAGTAAAAGCATTGTTCGCTTAACGTGTTAGATATTTCGCCTATTTATGACGTCTTGTCTTGGCTTCAGCATCTCTCTGGGACGTCTAGATGTGTGACGTTAGTAGAGCCATAAGACATCTAGATTTGACGTCAGTAAATCTGTATGATTTCCAGAGTAGATTAGAAAAGATGTATGACGTCTAGACGTGACCCCAGTAGAGCTGTATGACGTCTAGATGTACGTCAGCAGGTCTGTATGACGTCTAGGTGTGACGTCAGTAGATTTGACGCTGAGTTCCTAGGGTGAAACGTGACTTGCATTGTGCGGACCCCGCGGTCTTCACTCATATGAAACAGGCCAGCTCTACTTCAGCTTCTCCAACAAACACTCAGTGAATCGTTACTTAACCTACCTGTTTCCTCGACTGCTCCAGGTTATTTGTTTTGTATGAATACAACCTCGTCAATCTTAATGTAACCAAGTGATACTTTTCTGAGGAGATCTTTGGTCGATACTTTTCTGACGGAGGTCTTTGGTCGATACTTTTCTGACGGAGGTCTTTGGTCGATACTTTTCTGAGGAGATCTTTGGTCGATACTTTTCTGACGGAGATCTTTGGTCGATACTTTTCTGAGGAGATCTTTGGTCGATACTTTTCTGACGGAGATCTTTGGTCGATATTTTTTTGACGGAGATCTTTGGTCGATACTTTTCTCACGGAGATCTTTGGTCGATATTTTTTTGACGGAGATCTTTGGTCGATACTTTTCTCACGGAGATCTTTGGTCGATATTTTTTTGACGGAGATCTTTGGTCGATACTTTTCTCACGGAGATCTTTGGTCGATACTTTTCCGATGGAGATCTTTGGTCGATACTTTTCTGACGAAGATCTTTGGTCGATATTTTTTTGACGGAGATCTTTGGTCGATACTTTTCTCACGGAGATCTTTGGTCGATACTTTTCCTATGGAGATCTTTGGTCGATACTTTTCTGACGGAGATCTTTGGTCGATATTTTTTTGACGGAGATCTTTGGTCGATACTTTTCTCACGGAGATCTTTGGTCGATACTTTTCTGACGGAGGTCTTTGGTCGAAACCAAGTGAACTTTTTCTGGCGGAGACCTTTGGTTGAAACGACGTTAGACTGGTTCCTCTTTCAGCCCTTAGCCCATGTCTCCCCGATGGATTTGTTGCGTGTGCGACACCGGCAAACTTTGAGTCAACCCTCCAGATCCCAGCTTGGCCTATAATTAAACCACAGTCTGTTGTTTTTTTTATGCCAGTTTTCTTGGGTATCTTTAACAATAGAGCTTCTCCTTTTTCTTGTGAAATGGGGGTTCATAGACAACGAATTTCGTCCCAACCCCTAAGCTTATCACCTAACAACACACAAAAATGTACCCCCCCCCCCGACACACACACACACCACCGCTAAAAAGACAACGCCATTTCCAGTCTTCCACTAGAAAGTTTTTCCATTAAGTCATTTTTTTAAACATTGAGTTTACTAACTTTAAATAAAATTGCAATTAAAACTAAACGACTCTCGGCTGTTTGGTCAGAAAAATCTTCAATCACTGTTTAATACTATTTTTTTTTTATAAATCGCATCAAAATTTGGCTCATTAATCATTTAAAGAGAAATTGAAAAAAAAATATAGTGGAAAAAAATACTCACAAAATTCGGTTTCAAAAATGTTTTTCAAAATTTTTCCTGGTGAGCAGACACTGGTAAAAGTATACATTTTGTATGTAAATTTCCATTTCGTTCGGGGGAAGGGGTGGGATGGGGGGGGGGGTGGGGTAGACTTTCTTTGGGCAGAGCCCCACCCCACCTTAAGATATGCCTGGAAGAAACACCGCTTAGGAGTGCAACGACTCAGACCCCCCCCCCCCACAAAGTAGTGAAATTGTTTAGAATATATATATATATATATATATATATATATATATATATATATATATATATATATATATATATATATATATATATATATATATATATATATATATATATATATATATATATATATATATGCATTATGTAAGCCCTGCTTGGCCATTCCATTGATGTGATTCAGAATCTGTTCCTTGGTATGAGTTCTGGCATCTGTGGATGAAGTTAATATTGGAGGCATTACCTCCCTCTTACGATTTTAATTCTATTCAAATAATACAGTTTGCTGACGCGGACACAGTGGCGAAACACGTCCGTGTCGGAACGTGTTTATCTTTGCCAGATAAACACGAAGTCTGTACGGCCAAATTGATTGGCTCTACCGGTTTTTTTTTTTTAAGAATTAAAAACTATGAAGTTTTAAGAAAAATAATCTTCAAGCCTGTTCGATCGATGTGGTATTTACATACAAATAAAAAAAAATCATTACATTAATGAAGTAAATAATCTAGAAGGTTTGTAATTAACAAAATAGCTTGATTTAATTAACTAATTTAATTACTATAAAAATGATTAGAAATTCAATAGCAAACGTAATGTTCAAAATTCGGAATTTAAGAGTGTAAGCTTATAATATTCTAAAATAAATTATTTGTTGTGGTAGATTCAGTAGTGTAAACAAGTGTGTTAGTAGGTGCAATTCCTAACAATGGACTATCAAAGGGAATAGCTGTTTTGAGTTAAGTTGATGTTTTAAGTCATTAACAACGATACATTAGTGGCGCTTTTTGTCTATTTAAAGTTTTGAATATATATATATATATATATATATATATATATATATATATATATAGGCCTATAGGCTAAATATATATAGGCTATATATTTACACACACACACACACACACACACACACACACACACACACATATATATATATATATATATATATATATATATATATATATATATATATATATATATATATATATATATATATATATATATATATATATATATATATATATATATATATATATATATATATATATATATATATATATATATATATATATATATATATATATATATATATATATATATATATATATATATATACATTTGTAGCTCTTTCTCTCTCTATATATATGCCTATATTCATTATATTATATACAATATTATATCTATATATTATATATATTATATTTATATCTTGTATAATAAATGCTTCTATTTCCCAACTAATTTATCCTCCAGCTTTGTCCACGTATCCTACACACAGCACGTCACGCTTTGCTGGTGGCTGCCAAATGAATGAAGCGTGGTAAGGTATGGAGTGTTGCACACTCTGTACCTTGCTCCTGTCATTGCTAGTCAACGGCTATCTGTCCGGAGCTCTGTGTCAGATGGACGGTCAAGGTGCCGGTGACGTCACACGACCTGACACATCTGGAACCGTGGCTTTAAACCGTGGTCAAACTGACCAGGGTCAAACACTGGCAGGATATTCACCTATAACAATGAATTCTACCCCGGCTAAGTCCAAGAACACCGTCTATCAAGGAATCGATGTAAAGATACACAGGAATCTTTTACTTGCTATGCACAAGGGATATAACTCGAAACTTCGGATCAAGCGCGATAATTCCCCCAGCATCTTTGACATGACGTCAACGGGTTCAGTTTTATCACCACACACTACAAGCAATTCCGGAAGTTCAACGTCGACTGTGACATCACTTCCTGTGGAAACCCCAAACACCAATCTCAAGTCTTCATCAGATATGCAAACTTTGCAATTTACAAAAAGTCCGGAAGAAGTCACGTTTTCCGCGGATAAAGTCCCAATTTCGGGTCCAAATTCATCAGGATACGCATCAGAAAAGTCACCAAAGTTACCGGATAGTGCATCTGTTGAGTCACCCAAAATCTTGCACATCGGCGGCCTGTTCGAACTTTCTGGGAAGGACGGACCCAGCGGGCGATCGGAGCTTGACGCGGCGCTGCTGGCCATTGATCACGTGAACAAAATGGATATCATCCCTGGATACCAGCTCACGTTGTTGTATAACGACTCCAAGGTGGGTGCCATCTGTTGTCCTCATGCGTGTAACACGGGAACAAGGCATTACCCCCCCCGTCAATTACCCCCGGACATTCCCCCTCCCCCCGACATTACCCCCCGGAGTAATTACCCCGCCCAGTAGGACATTACCCCGCCCCCGACAGGTAATTGCTCCGGGGAGTTAATACGGGGGGGGGGGGGGAGGGGGGGGGGAATGTCCGGTGGGGGGGGGGGGGGCGATGTCGGGTAATGTCTTGTAGCCGTGTAACACATGTTTGTAAAGTTTTCTTTCGAACCTGACAGTCCATAGGGCAAATGGAGTTCACCTGTTTCTTTGACATCGGGATATGAAGGGATAGTGAGGTCAGCACTATGCCCAGCCCGTTTACTATCGCCAAAGTAAGTCAGGTACCCTTCAGTGGTCTCATGGGCATTTTACAGATTTAAACTCGAGACCTTCAAGTTTGCAGTCTTATGCTCTGCCATTCGACTCAGCCGCCCCATCTATGTTGTCCCAAATTATTAATTAAGTACGTTTTCCAAATGTTGAGATACCAAATAGATCGCTAAAATATGTTGTTAAAGTACATCGACCTAATATGCGTTAAGTGTGATCTAAATAGGCTGTACAAATACGGTGTCTAAATATTGTGCCTAAATACATCGATGTGATATGCGTTACGTTATCGAAATCGGTTCTAAATATCTTGCATACAAAGTTTGTACATACAAGTTGTAATTGACTGTCTAAAGATGTGGCCATTCGTTTCTAAATATGTGCAATCAGTTTGTTCAAAATTTCATCTGTGAACGAGCAAAACAACACTTATCACTGTCTTGGAAAAAAATACACACGATTACTCGTAACAAATGTGTTGGTTGAAATCAGCAAGCTGAATTTTCCCGACATGAAATAGGAAAGGGAAGTAATTTGGCGTACTAATTCTAGAATCATGCTAATCCCTTTACTAGATTATTTTGTATTCGATTTCTTGTATTATAGAAATCAGTGGTCATTCACATATCTCGCTAACCCATAGTGATCTCCCTCAACCTTCAGAGAATAAAAGCTCTTCTTACCATACACCCACACATACAGTATCCCAAACAACGCCCACATATACAGTACCCCCACACAAAACCCCCATACTCTTACGATGCGATGCTATTCACAATATTCACTCAGTGTTTCTACCCACACTACCACCCCCATCACACAATACCCCCACACTACCACCTCAATCACACAATACCCCCACACTACCACCTCAATCACACAATACCCCCACACTACCACCTCCATGACACAATACCCCCACACTACCACCCCCATCACACAATACCCCCACACTACCACCTCCATCACACAATACCCCCACACTACCACCTCAATCACACAATACCCCCACACTACCACCTCAATCACACAATACCCCCACACTACCACCTCAATCACACAATACCCCCACACTACCACCCCAATCACACAATACCCCCACACTACCACCTCAATCACACAATACCCCCACACTACCACCTCCATGACACAATACCCCCACACTACCACCTCCATGACACAATACCCCCACACTACCACCTCAATCACACAATACCCCCACACTACCACCTCAATCACACAATACCCCCACACTACCACCTCAATCACACAATACCCCCACACTACCAACTCAATCACACAATACCCCCACACTACCACCTCAATCACACAATACCCCCACACTACCACATCCATCACACAACACCCCCACACTACCACATCCATCACACAACACCCCCACACTACCACATCCATCACACAACACCCCCACACTACCACATCCATCACACAATACCCCCACACTACCACCTCAATCACACAACACCCCCACACTACCACCTCCATGACACAATACCCCCACACTACCACATCCATCACACAATACCCCCCACACTACCACATCCATCACACAATACCCCCCCCCCACCACACTACCACCTCAATCACACAATACCCCCACACTACCACCTCCGTCACACAATATCCCCACATTTCACATTAAATATCCACACACAATACACCCCCACGCAGTACCCAAAATTTATCATTCCCTCACACAAACGCCCACACAGTACAGTCTTACTACCAGCCCCCTAAAGTAAACGACAGCCTACATTTTTTGGGTCTAAATACAAAAAAATTTCAGTCGGGAGACAAGGGACTGATTCTCTCGGTAAGGCGTGTTGGGAGGGAGGGGATGGGGGACGGGAGGTTAAATGCTTTTAACGTTATGTGAGAGATGACAACAGAGATTAACGTCACTAGCGGACCCGAGTCGAGGCAAAATGGATCCAGGGACGATTGGAATTATGTCATTAAAAAATCTCTACTGGGTTAAGTTTTTTTTTTACTTCTATTTTAACCTACCACTTTGTAGCCATAGAACATACGAATTTATTTATATGTAGTCATAGAACATAAGAATTTATTTATATGTGGACATAGAACATACGAATTTATTTATATGTACGAGAGAATTAGAAAACTGCTCAAATATTAGCCGTTGTATAATTTTATTATTTTTTAAAAGTGCATTACAAGTAATCTGATTAAAAAAAATTATTTCATAAAGTCCAAAACTAATTCGTCGAGACATTTCTCATTCGCCCAATTCAAATCCACTATTTATGCAAAATTAGGACGGCGTGGTCGGGGGATAGAGCGCTTGAAAGCTAGCCCGAGGTTCCGAGTTCGGAACTCGGCATTCTTGAGCTTACGGAGGATGCTGGCGGCTGTGTAGGGTTGAGAGGGGATAGACGTCACTCCATTCACTTACTCAACTGTTTCGGTCATTTGAATGCACTTATTCTAACGCTCTTAATGCTAAACTTTATATCTTTAAAATCAGTGGAGCTTAACTTCACTGAACAAAATTGAACCAAAACTACTGTGCAATTATTATTTCATCATCATCCTCTCCCGTTCGTGCCCAAGGTTCTTGGGGCAGATAGAGTTCACTTGTTTCAGAGATCTCGGCATATGAAGGGATAGTGTGGTCAGCACTATACCCAGGCGCTCTTGCTGGATGGACTCAGTTCTACTGACTTGAACCCAAATTCTTACTCGAGACTTTAGGGTTAACTTAATTTTCTTGTCCCCTTTTTTCTTTGCCTGTGTACATTTTCGATTGCAGGGCTTTTAAAACAAAATACTGTCCCAAAATTTTGGGTGTCAAAACGCCACTCGACGGCTCATATCTAAAAAAAAAACAATAAAAAAAATTCAACTACTAGTATTTTGGGCATTCGTATGGAGAGTTATCAATTTATATTTTGTTTATATTTCTAATTGTTTAGCAATTAATAATAAAGTGCTAGTAGCTTCCCATTTTAACATTTTAAAATGTTCAAGGGAGATAAACTAAAGTTATGAATTTAAAATCGTTGTACATGCATTTGATTCAATACTAAAACACTATTGAATTATTATTTCTTGTTGGTCTGCACATAAAAATTATCGATGTTACACGACATTACGTATACATTAATACATCATGAATTATATTGCAACCAGTGACTATAATTAAAATGAAAACCAAGAATCATCTTTGATACCTAATTTAAAGATAACTGAAGTTACATTAATTTGAAACGTTTGAATCTACGAAGTTATTTCAAGCTTTTATTTAACTCACTTCCTCGTCAGTCTATAGTCAGTCTGTCTGTCTAGGCCAGGGGTCGGCAACCTGCGGCTCGCGAGCCGCATGCGGCTCTTTTGATATCAAGATGCGGCTCTCCAGCTCCTTGAACAAATAATAATAATCTTAATAAAAAATAAAATATTTGAAATTAAAAAAAATGTTAGTGGCTCTTTAAAACCAGGGAGATTTTGAAAATTGTAACTTTTGGCTCTTCCGCTTCAAAAGGTTGCCGACCCCTGGTCTAGGCCCGTGTGAAATTGCGGGCACTTCCAACTGACTGATAGGGTTCGTATTTGGTACGTGGGTCAACACATGAAGACAATGCATCGTGACATTCAATTTGACTTAATTGGTCGTCTAATTAATTTTTTATGCATTAATAAAATTTGGACCGAATTAGAAGGCAGTACTATCCACACGCGTCATCGCGGCCGTCCTGGGCGTGGAGCGAGGGGGGGGGGGGGGGGGCTCTACGATAAAAGCACGTCATCACGTTCAATAGGTGCGCAATAGCCTTTAGTCGGGTCAGCAGTCTAGTTCTTTACCACTAGACTACGCCATCCCATAATACTTTACTGAAACTTTAGCTTTTAACTGCAAAACTGTTGTTCAAATTGTGTATCATATATTTGTTGCTATACTATATTGTCTTAACATGCGTATAACTCGTTAATACTAAAAAGTATAAAAATGATAAATACATAAAGCGTTTATAATTACAAGCTTTTAAAAATGCACTTTAAAGAAGAAAATAATAAAAAAATTATTAAATATAAAATAATTTTTAAAAATATAATAAATCTGCGTTTACTTTAAATATATATATAAACATTACTCTCTTTAAATATATTAATGCACTACTATTTATATCACAATAAATAAAAGAGTGGGCCGCTATAATAATAAGTATTTAAACAAGCGGCCCACGCTTTTATTAGTTTACTATTGTAAGAATAAGCTGTTTATTTTAACGTTTCTATTTTATAGATTTTAAAAATAGCGCTAGTCCCCGCCTTCCCTAGCAATAGTCCACACTTCCCCTAGCACTAGTCCACACCTCCCCTAGCACTAGTCCACACCTCCCATACCACACCTCCCCCTGCACTAGTCCATACCTCCCCTAGCACTAGTCCACACCTCCCCTAGCACTAGTCCATACCTCCCTTAGCACTAGTCCACACCTCCCCTAGCACTAGTCCATACCTCCCGTAGCACTAGTCCACACCTCCCCTAGCACTAGTCCACATCTCCCCTAGCACTAGCCCACATCTCCCCTAGCACTAGTCCACACCTCCACTAGCACTAGTCGTTAACTCCC